GCCCAAACTTTAGGGGAGCACATAACTAAAAAAATCAAAGTTACATTTTCCCTGATCCATACAGCTAACTATACAACCATGTCACTTCGGATGACAGGCTAAGTCACAGCCAGTAAGAAACAAGCCGAAGTGCTATGCGCAGCTGCTGGGACACACCTTTAAAGTGGGGGTACGGCCTTCTCTACGCATGCCTTATTAGCCCTGCTAGTGGAAGGCAAACGTGATGAAGAGTGCTAGGCCAGCCACCCTGGAGCACGAGGTCAAAGACAAGCACACAGAGGAACAAACAATTTGCTGACAATGACCTCGTACTAGAGACAGTCATCGAGTTCTGTCCTGTGAAGACACCATAATTAGGGATTTGCCATCACTTGCAGATGTATTCAAATCTAACCTCTACAATGCCAGAAACCATAACTCAATGTTTTCTACTGGCCAACACAAGACAAACTTTTTTTTTTTTTTGAGACAAAGTACTGCTCTGTCACCCAGGCTGGACTGCAGTGGCGCCACCTCGGCTCACTGCAGCCTCCACCTCCCAGGTTCAAGCAATTCTCCTGCCTCAGCCTCCCAAGTAGCTGGGACTACAGGTACACCCCACCACGCCTGGCTAATTTTTTAATTTTTCATAGAGACAAGGTTTCGCCACGTTGGCCAGGCTGGTCTTGAACTCCTGACCTCAGGTGATCTGCTTGCCTTGGCCTCTCGAAGTGCTGGGATTACAGGCATGAGCCACCACGCCCGGCAAGACAAACATTTCAATACTTTCCTAAAGCCCCTTGCGCATCATTCAGTTTCCCCACACACACAAGGCTGTGCTCAGGTTACCCCCTCTTCACACTCTGCCAGCCTGCAGGAGCCTGGCTCTCCCAGAAGCTCATCTACCCTCCAAGTTGATCCACTCTGCCAAGCCTTGCTGAGTTGGGACCTGGACAGGATCAGCACCCCCCAGGGGGAGCACGTGGGAGCCGAGCAAGACCCACTGCCGAGGGCGTGAAAGGAAACTGAATCTTGAAATCCCAAACTCATTGAGCCAAAGGGAAAAGTCAAGCTGGGAACTGGGCGACGCAAACCTCCCTTCCCCTTTTGGTTCCAAAATAAGAAGGCTACAAGATGAAGCTACACACCTCCCCCATATTTTGCCCACAAGGAAATTCCTAGTGAGCTGCAAGACCTTTTAAGGTGCTTCTGCAAACATTTCACCATGGCAGTGTAAATGGATAGCTTATGTTTACAGGTGCAGTCTCCCCCAGTCCACCAGACACAAATGCATATCTGATTGTTCCCCGGCCCCATTGTGTCTAGGTTATCCTATATAACACACAGACTCCCTACATCTTCCCTCTGCTCCATTTGTCTATGTCATTTTACATTTAAAAAAAAAAAATGCAGATTCACTGAGCCAGACAAAGGCATGAATGACTGTTTTTCTCTATCTCCCTCTTACATGAAAATTGTGCACTTCTCAATATCCGGCCCTGTCCCCTTTAAATTTGGAGCCCTGAAAATCATCGTCGGAGAAAACATAGACCTGAATCCCAGGCGTGCTTCCTTAACTTTGGCAAACAAACCTCCTAAAGTGATCGAGAATTGTCTCATCATTTTTTCTCAATTGACAGGCGAAGCTTTCCAAACCAACAGCTCGAGGCCCACGGGGGTCAGAGACAAGAGGACCAATTGCCAATTGCTACCACTAGCAGTAGTGACTCAGGGTCCACACTCTGAGACCAAGGGGCCGAGAGGTCAGCCGCACAAAGAATGTGGCAAGTGGCAGGAAAAAATAAATGAGAATAAACCAAAGATCCTGTGACAGGCTCTATTTCCCATTTTTAAAATCATAAGTAAAAAGGAGATTATAATAAATTATTTCATTTTCCAGGTATGATAAGCACAATTACTAAAAAGGACAATCAAAGAGAAGCGTCTCATAATGGCTCCTTCCGTTGGACACTAATTTTCTCTTTTTGTATTCTACAATCTATAAGTACTTTTGCTTTAACAATCCTGAGTTGTTTTTTAACAGATTTACTGCACAGACAAGAAATGTCAAAGTTTAAAAGTGCATTTACTGAAGCAATCAACATGCAAAACAAAATATTTCAAACAATACAAAAATTCAGCTTTAAAGAGATAACATTTACTATAACAAGAAAAAATGTGATAACTAAGAATAAATCTAATAAAACATGTGAGGCAGGAGAATAGGGTCTGGAGGCAGGTAACCTAAGGCCAATTCACACTAGCTTCCTAGAACTAAAAAAAAAAAAACAAAAAAAACTTTCCGTGCCCAGGTAACAGGCTACTCCCTTCACAATCCACCCTTTTTCTGCGTGGCAGATGAAATACTGAAAGTACCTCTGATTGGTCCCAGGCCAAGTCTTCATCTGCATAGAAGTGTAACTTTGTGAATTCGGCCTCCGATTCATCATTTTCTGCAACCAATCAGACGTTTGCATAGGGTGTTTTATAACTTCACTTCAGCCTCTCATTGGTCGCTTTCTGCAACCAATCAGACTGATCGTGGGCCACTACTTCATTTACATAGGGTGTACACCAAGTAACCAATGGGAAACCTCTAGAGGGTATTTTAAACCCCAGAAAATTCAGCTACCAGGCCCTTGAGCTGCTTGCTCAGGTCCACTACTGACTGAGGAGTGTGATTTCATGTTCAATAACTCTCTGCTTTTGTTGCTTCATTCTTTCCTTGCTTTGTTTGTGCATTTTGTCCAATTCTTTATTCAAAGCATCAAGAACCTGGACACCCTCCATTGGTAGGTAACACATGTACAAGGCCCTTCATGGGGAAAATTCAAAAGTTTCACTGAAAAGCATTAAAAATGACTTTTAAAATAGGAACGAGCACGTTCACAAAAATAAATATTTAATTTCATAAAGCTATCCATTCTCCCAAACTGAAAATTGTCTTTTCTGACCCCTAACTTTCCATGCAACAGAAAGATTCCATGCAATTCCAGTCATAAACCAAACAGACCTCAAAAACAAAAACCAAGTGAAAGACCTTGGCAAACTGACTCTGAGACGTGTGTGGAAGAGCAAGGGGTGGCACTGGCCATCCACGGTGAAGAGGAAACTACTGGGCGGTGTGCACCCCCACCAGGTAGGAGGACTTCATGAAGCTAAATTACTTGCAAGGTGCAATATGAAGGGAAGACTCCCTAAATACTGGGACCAAAAACAAAAAACACACAACACAGATCTATATGAATGTGGTAGTGACAGAAAACAGGAGTGACGTCGCAAATACGGGAGACGAGCTGGACCCAACAACAGTATGGGGCCTGCCGCTGTCTCAGGAGGAAATTAAACAGATTCCTACCTCCCACCACACAGTCATCAACTGCAGATGAACTGAACACGGAGGCATGAAAAGCAAAACTTTTGGATGAAAATCTGGGCAGACACCTTCATGTGTAGAAAAAGGTTCTTCAGATAAAGCGCGAACCAGTGCTCACCAAAAGAGACTGTGAAGTTCAACCACACTAAAGCTCACAACTTCTGATCATCAAGATCCACCAGGAAAAAAGGAAGAGAAAAGCTGCAGGGGGCAGAAGATCTTTGCAACATACAAACTGACAAAGAATCAGAATTCTTACTATGTGAAGATCAACAACTCATGAAAGAGTGAATCAACAAACCAAAAGAAAAATGGGCAAAAGACAGGACCATTTTGCAGAAGGAGGAAGACAGAAGACATCCATAAATATACAGAGATGCTTAACTCTAAGAGTAACCAGAGAAACGAACTGAGAACTCCAGTAGGAATATCCACCAGAGCAACAAAAACAAGAAGTCCGCGGCATGAAGAACTGGCAAAGAAGTGCGGCGCGGAGGGAACGCTCACACCCTGCAGAGGGGAGATGCGTTGGTAGCGGCCGTCTGGGAAGTGTGTGGACATTATCTTGAAGGTACAACAGGCACACACCACACCCAGTGATGCAATAATTGTACTGCTTTGTAAACGCCTTAGAGAAACCTTACCTGTGGGCACCTGCATAAACGTACGTGAAGGCTCCAGATAACACCCTTCCTAACAGCAAAACATCAGAAACAACCCAAATGTCCAACAGGAAGAAGGTGAAGGAGAGTGTGGAATATTTAAATAACAAACCATTATACAACTAGATACAACAGATTCGCTGAATCTTAGAAAACAATGAGAGAGGCCGGGCGCCGTCGCTCACACCTGTAATCCCAGCATTTTGGGAGGCCAAGGAGGGCAGAGCACTTGAGATCAGGAGTTCGACACCAGCCTGGCCAACACAGCAAATCCCCATCTCTACAGAAAGTACAAAAATTAGTTAGGTACAGTGGTGGGTGCCTGTAATCCCAGCCCAGGGAGGCTGAGGCAAAAGAATCACCTGAACCCAGGAGGTGGAGGCTGCAGTGAGCTGAGATCACACCACTGCACTCCAGCCTGTGAGACAGAGCAAGCCTCTGTCTCTAAATAAAGGAAAAAAACAAGAGGCAGAGACCAGACTACACAAAGAGTGATGCAGCTCCAAAAGACCCAAATTAAACGAATACATTGTGTTCCTACTGTCCCATGAATGAAAGTCACAAAGAATCGAAAACGTAAAAGGCAAGAAAGCGTCATCCAGGAAGGGGGTTGCAGGGGGTGGGGGATACATAAGCAGCCTCAGTGCTCTGGGTCAGGCCTGAGGTCATGGCCATGTGTGTCACTGGGCAGCACTGGGGGGTTCTGGTTCCTCAGTCTGGTGGTGGATCATGAGTGCATACATCCACACATGTGTATTACATACATTGCTTGCTGTGTGTCAATATTATACAGTAAAAACACTGAAAGAACAAATAAGATTCCTGTCAGCAACTGTGTCCACAAGGGCCAGACGCACTGGCAGTTCGCCACAGCAACCTTGCTTCTGGGTGAAGCACCTCCGGCTGCACCCACTGTCTGGTTAGCACAGCGGGCATCAGCCACTCCCAACAAGGGGAACTGCCTCACGGCAAGAGCGTCTTACCTCCGTCACCTTGGGCTGCAGGATCAACGCTTCAGGGCTCATGCGAGGGATGTCTATATGGATCTGGAGAAGCAGGAGAAAAGACATTTATGTTACGTGACAACAAACATCATTGCAAGCGTTATGATGACAACCGCAACACTGAGGGAAGTCCTTCCCCTGCCTCTACCCTGCTCTCTCCTTGAGGATTCCTGTTCTCTGTTACCGCCTTCTCCCCTGAAGGAGGCATCCAAAGTCTATTCTTTCCGAACAGCTTGCCCAGTCCTAGGCAACAGGCTTGCTTAACACTGACCCCATCCAGCAGCCACTGCGGCGTGATTAGGAACAGAGCAGGCCTCGGCCGCTTAGTACATCAGCCACAGCAATTAGTAAACATCGATTTTCAGCCTCTGACACAGAGAGCAATTCAAGTACATCAATAGTTTACACGTTTTCGGCTGTGACAGCTTCTTCTTGGACAGAGGCCACATTTTTCTCCACTTTATGAAGTCCTGGGGGAATCTAGAACATTATTCAAAGGAAGCATTTGAAAGCCTCTGTTAGTGTCGGCTGGTTCCTGCTTGGCCACCATCTGACATGACAGTCATAATAAAGTCCCCAACACTGCAGAGGGGGACACTTGTGGCTTCAAGAAGCAACCAAACGAGAGTGTTATGAGCTTGGGCTGGCATCACAGGCTGGCTCCCAGCATCCCACGTGAACATCTCACACCAGCCCACGCTCCCGTTTATCCAGGACAATGGCGCCAATGGGCTGAGGGAAACAGGCAAATTTTAATGCCAAGGGAGATGCTACGATTGTGTTTCATTTCACCCCATCCTTGCACATCTCCACAGAGGACTGTAACACCTAGGAGGCTGGGACACCATCACTTTGCCACTTATCACGCTGTGGCCAGGCCTCAGTTTCCTTGTCTACAAAATGCCTGCTCCAAGTATCTCAAAAGGTTACTGGTGAACATCAAGTAAGACTGAGAGTCAACAGCCAAATGGAATAAGCTGAGATGCACACACATCTGTGATGCGTGCCAAAGGAGGCCTGCCAGCAGCAGCGCTGCCAAGGAGGAGGAGGAAGGGGAGGAAAAGCAGGAGGAGGAGGAAGGGGAGGAAGAGCAGGAGGAGGAAGAAGGGGAGGAGGAGGAAGGGGAGGAGGAGGAAGGGGAGGAGGAGGAAGGGGAGAAGGAGGAAGGGGAGGAGGAGGAACGGGAGGAGGAGGAAGGGGAGGAGGAGCAGGAGGAGGAGGACGAGAAGGAGGAGGCAGAAGCAGCACTACTCTATCCAGACAGGCAGGGCCAAAGGACTGCAGCTGGCCCCATGCAGGAGTCCAGGTGCCAGCAGGAACAAGGGCCCAGGTCTCTTGTCAGGGTGTCCTGGAGGCCTAACTGCTCTCCCATACAGTTACACTTGTGTGGACACACATCTGTCCCGGCATGAACAGCGTAAGCTCCTGCAGGGCATGAACCAGGTCTGAGCCACCTCTGCACAACCAGGGCCAGCACAGCGCCCCTTACAAAGGAGCACCTGTCACACATTTATTAAGCAGACGAGGCGGCGCCCACCAGATCCGACCCCTGCCATCATCCTCACTGTCAGGAGAGGCTCCAACGTTAGACAGACGGTCCTCCACAAGGCTGGGCACGTGGGGCTCTATGCATCCCTCCTTCCATGCCGCCGGCCTCCCATCATACACAGAACTGGGCAAGTCAGAAAAAGGCCACAAGAGAGCTGACTGAGGGAGGAACAGACAGACCAGATGAACGTTTAACTCTGACTCCATGTGGCTCTGACATAACATCTTCAGCAGAAGAGTGAGCACATAAAAATCAAATGAAGAAAGGATGGAAAGCGAGTGGGGACCCTGCCGAGACCACCCCCATCCTGCTCCCTCTACCAGTGTGCAGGGGCGGCACTGCCCACTGCGGGTCAGACGACCGGTCGGGCTCAGTCCACAGGTCAAACGCCTAAGTGGATGTAAAGGAGAAACCAGGGTGTCCAAACCCCCATCGGGCCCAGCTCTGCCTGAAATGGCGATGGCGAGAATGCAGAAGGCACAGTTCCAAGAGGCTTCAAAGCATCAGGCAGACAGGGAAAAACTACCACGTTGCCGGATGCATGTCTCATCTGTATTAATGTAGAAATAGTCTGGGAATTCACAACAATCTGGAATCTTTTTATTACCTATCACAGTAACTAAATAAAGATGTATGCAACCTGTTCGTAATTAACTTTCTCTTCAAAAACTCATAACAGAATTCTGCTTGGTAAAACTCGCAGATAGATGCTAATGTCATCCTTTTGAAATCTTTTCTGAAATTAAAATGCATTAAAAAACGGGTTCAAAATAATGCCAAATTTATCAATTTCCTAAAACCAGTGGCGTGGCAAAGGAGGCCAGGTAAGCTAATATTTCCTTAAGCCAATCCAAAGTAATCTGTGTATCAAATCCGTTTCCCAGAGTAACTGGGTGGCGGCCCAGTGAGGCCCAGGGGCCCTGGTGTGAGACAGAAGGCAAGACGGGCCACAGGCAGCTCCGGCCTGGAAGGAAATGGAGGTGGCCGCTTTGCCACAGCCTCACTCCTAAGTCACTTTTCCTCCTGCAGTCCTGTGTCCCATCCATCTTGGAAGATGCCGTCCAGGAAGGCATTTAACTTAAAGAATCTTTTATTACGTAACAGAGGTAAGGTGTATATTTGGCCTTTTCTTTTTTTTTTTTACAGATAAAACCAACTACCAAAGAACTGTAGCTATCCCACGTCTGAGAGAGAAAACGTGGCAAAGCTCCTTCACCTAGAAGCAGGGTTTGCAGAGGGAAACATTCCTGCCATGCATCAGGAAACCCACAAGCTGACTTCAGATAGCTAAGCCAATGATGCCAATTAAGAGCTACCATTTTGACCTTTCACATATTACAAAGAGAGTGATAACTATAAAGTCCTCAAAGAGCTATTCTAACAGCAAATTCTGAGTGTAGTGTGAATCATAAATCAATTTTAAGTATTTTCCCATTACGTACATCATCTGTCAACTGACTATTTAAGAAACCATCATTAGACACACTTTATATTAAACTAAATCGCAAAATGGTAACTTGGCTACACCTTCCGCTATGGTGTGAAGTGTGTCCCCTGCAAAACGAAGCTGATGAATACACCTGTCCTGGGCTGGTATCCATCTCTAACCGGACCAAAGAGCCCAGCGCCAGTGAAGTCCCAAGCAACCTCTCTGTCCCCGTGCCATCCAGCTAAATGCCTGGGCTGGGCCTTTAGGAATGACCTTTGATCACCAGACAGCAGCTCACTGTGATACAAACTCCCACCATCACACCAAGGCTGGTCTCAGGAATCCCAGGCATTTATTTTGTAACCTCAATTTAAAATACTCTTTTTCCTCTTGTAGAGGGAACTGAAGACAAGCAAGATAGTACTATCAGAGGAAATCTGCCATTATTTGTTTTAAAATGTACTTATTAGAAAATAAAACTCTGGGAGCTAATCAGGGACCTGCATCTTTAACTCTGACCAACTCCACACGGTTTTCATAAAACATTTCCTCCCATAAATCACACCAAACAAAGTACTTCAGGCAACATACGAAAAAGAGAAAGGATCCCCACCTGCCTGTATGTGTCCTGGTGAACTTCGTCGTTCCTAGAATCGTAATAGTGCTCAATAAATGCAAAATATTCTTTTTGTTTTCTCTGGAGAGTGGCTGGTCTCCGGTCTACGTTGGCAGGAAGGTAACCCTGGGTGAGAAATAAAAAAAACAAAAAATATACATGGTTATAGCTAATGCATGGAGTCCCTGTTAGAAGTGAGAAATAAAAAGGCTTGCATCCTACCTGAGCTTAGCATTCTGAAATCTGACACAGAGAGGAGCACAAATTGGGAAAAATGAAACACACACAGCGAAGTTCAGCCAGCTCCACACAACGCAAGCGCCACTCCTGACAGCACTGAGGAAGCGGCCCGGGCCTGCGTCCCCAGCCTCCCGGTGCACGCCCTCTCCACTCAGCCAGACAAGAGTCCCACAGGCTCTGCAGCAGGTGGGCCCAAGGTTCTTCTACAGCAGGGCTGCAAGACTAAACAAGCCCTTCTCTAGAAGTCTCATACACCAGAAAGGATTCCAAAGTCTGAACAGTCTAACAGCAACCATGCACACACACACACATATACATGTATACATGCATGCACATATACACATACGTGTGTATGTACTGTCACTTATGCAAATGTGCCATCTTCAAAGACTCATGGGCCTGTGGCAGCCGCAGCACCAGTACGTAAAGGGGACCTGAAGTCAGAAAGGGCCAGGCAGCACAAGGAGGTCATGAAGAGCCTGATTCCTGGGCCAGACTGCCTGGGATTTCATGTTTTCTGTTGCCTTATTTCTACTTTTTAACTTGACATTATTGACAATATATAGTTGTCCCTAAGTATGGGAATTTTGGAATACCAAAAATCTTTTTTTTTTGGTTTTTTTGAGACGAGCTAGCTTGTCACCCAGGGCTGGAGTGCAGTGGCCGGATCCTCAGCTCACTGCAAGCTCTGCCTCCCGGGTTATACACTTATCCTGGCCTCAGGCCTCCCGAGGAGCTGGAACTACAGGTGCCGCCACCTCATCGGCAGTTTTTTGTATTTTTTTAGTAGAGACGTGGTTTCACCGGGTTAGCCAGGACGGCTCGATCTCCTGACCTCGTGATTCCGCCGTCTTGGCCTCCCAAAGTGCTGGGATTACAGGCTTGAGCCACCGCGCGCCGGCCAAGAAACCCCCTCCCGCCCCCGAATTCTTAGGCGTATTGCAAGACCTTATATAAAAATGGCTGCAGATTTGGTGTTAACCTATGCAATCTGCCTGAATACAATAATCTCTAGATGGGACTTATGACACCTGAACGAAGGTTAAATGCTTACTACAGTGAATGTCCTATAATTACTGTGTGTTGTTATTTAATATTATCTTTTGTTGCGCTACTGTTACTTTTTTTTTTTTTTTGAGGACAGTTCTTGACTCCTGTCACCAGGCTGGAGTGCAGTGGCATGATGCTTGGTTCCCACAACGTCGCCCCCAGGTTCAAGCGATTCCTGCCCTCACTCCCGAGAGAGCTGAGGATTACAGGACCCACCACCATGCCCAGCTAATTTTTGTATTATTTTAGTAGAGACAGGGGTTTCATTCACGTTGTCCAGGATGGTTCTCAGATCTCATTGACTTCTGTCGTTCACCGCGCCTTCGGCCTCCAACATGTGCCGGGATTCAGGCGGTGAGCCACCACGCCAGCCTTTTTTTCCCAAGTATTTTCGATGCACAATTGGTTGAATCTGCAGATGCAAAACCCCCAGATATAAATGGCCAATTCTAATTTATAAAATAAGATGCGCCCATTTTAAGCAATCAGTTTGGTGCCTTTTGACAAGGGCTTCCAGCTATGTAACTACTCCTCCAAGGAAGATACACACTTCTATCCCCCTGCCCCCATAGACTTCCCAGTACCCTCTGCAATCCATCCCAACCCTGGCCGGCGAGGCGCTCACCTCCTCACTGTGCATGGCTGAGGCTGCCCTAGGACTCCCCAGAAATGCAGCCACTCAGGACCTGCGCTTTGTGTGAGCTTTTCCTGCACTCGGCAGCACAGCGCCTTCCGAGACGGATCCAAGTTACATGAATCAGCTGTGGTTTCCTTTTTCTAGCTGCATCCCTTGAATTGATCCGCCAGTTTGTTAAAGATTCACCTGTCAATGAGCATTTGGGTTGTTTCCAGTTGGGGGTTTGTTATATTCCTGCACAGGATTTTCGTGGGCATACGCTTTGGGTTTTCATGGTTAAATACCTAGGAGTCGAGTTACGGAGCCATAACACTGGGATATGCTTAGTTTTCTATGAAACTGTGAGCTCTTTTTCCAAAGAAATTACTCCACTTTACATTCTCACCAGCAATGTATGAGAATTCCAGATGCTACATAGCCTTCCCAACACCTGGTATTGTGAATCCAACTATCAGCCATGCTTTTGGGTGTGGTTTTAATTTCGTTTCCATCATGATTAATGATAAAGAAGAGAGACTTCATGGAGCCATCGCATCTCTTCTTTAGCGAAGTATCTGTTCAAATCTTTGGCCCAGCTTTTACCCAGCTTGTGTGTCAACTTATTACTGCGCTCGATGAGCTCTGTACACACTCTAGATACAAATCTCTCTTTTCTTCGTATGTACTGTCATTCCTCTCCTTAGCCTATGGCTTGCTTTTATGTCTCAAACAGATAAGGTCTTAAAGTTTCATGAAGTCCAGTTGATAGTTTTTCTTTTATAATTAGTGTTCTTGTATCTTATCTAAAAAAGATTTTCGGCCAGATGCAGTGGCTCACGCCTGTAATCCCAGCACTTTGGGAGGCTGAGGCGGGCAGATCACGAGGTCAGGAGTTCGAGACCAGCCTGGCCATTATGGTGAAATCCGTCTCTATCAAAAACCAGCCAGTTTTTAGTAGAAATCCGTCTCTACTAAAAACCAGTCTCTACTAGCCAGGTGTGGTGATGCGTGCCTGTAATCCCAGGTACTCAGGAGGCTGTGGCGGAGAATCACTTGAAGCCGGGAGGGAGAAGTTACAGTGAGCCGAGATCATGCCACTGCACTCCAGCCTGGGCGACAGAGCAAGACTCCGTCTCAAAAAAAAAAAGAAAAAGTTTTTCTCCTTGTTTTTTTTCCTGGCAGTCTTACTGCTGTGCCTGGCCGCGTCTTTCTCATCCCTCAAGTGTCTCCAGTGGTCACTTCTCCCATGAGGTCTGACCAGGCTCCTGGTCAGTAGTCACTTTTCCCACGAGGCAGGGCTGGTCATCCAGCACTCCAGCAGCCTCTAGGAGGAAGTTCACTCAGGACCAGCCCCTCATGGTGCCAACCAGATGGCGGGCACACAAGCTTTCACTGGGTGAATCACATATGAACGAGTGACTGCATGAACAAATACATCCCGGATGGCGCTTTCTGCCTTTGAAAGTGCTTCCACATCTGTAGTAGACATCACTGTGGTACCCACCAAACAACTACTCATCCTCGCTGGAACAGAGCCCTGAAGCTGCTCTGGGAGCCATATCTCCCTCTGCCCAACCCTTGCGGTCCGGATGAGGAGCCCCTTCCTTCAGGAGAGGCCTCCCCTGGGCTAAGCTACACGGCTAAGCCACCCTCCAGTCACCATGACTGACAGTTCGGGGGTGGAGAGGTGGCCCAACACGGGGATAGGAGCCAAGCCAGGGCTTTCCTTGGCTGCTGCTGTGAACAAAAGTGAATGTGGAAAGTGTGGAGTTGCAGCGGCCACCCTCTGATGGGAGAATCACAAGCTGCAGGTCCATCAGGAAAAGCTGACCTGAAGGAGAGCGGGACTCAGAGAGCCACCAGGCCTCGAGCATGAAGCCATACTTCAGCTGTGCGAGCACTGGCCTTCCTTCCATTCTCAAGTTTCCACTGGCCTCTATTCTGCATTATAAATTACACTCAGGCACACTCGTGTTAACACATTAGGATCACACCACTGAAACTTCTTTTTAATAAATGCTTACTGAAGTACAGCATTCTTATATAAACGCATACCCCAAAATCGTGTGTGAATTATCACAAACTGAACACACCTGTCAACACCACCCAGGTAAAAGCCAGACCATCACCGTCTTAGCAGGCCTCTCAGTCACCGTCCCTTACCTCCTCCCCTCCTAAGTGGCATTTTTTCTGTCTGGCTGTTTGCATTCAGCGTTACACTTGAAAACTCATTCACGTTATAACGCGTCACAGTAGTTCCTTCCTCCACTGCTGCGTAACACGGCCGTGTGTGAAATCCATTCTGTTAACACACATTTGTGCTGTTTCCAGTTTTTGCTTTAAAATTTCTTGAAGCTCCCTTTTACGGTACATGCTATGCACTTCTGTTAAGTGTATACCTGGGAGTGGGCCTGCTAGGTTTGCACACCTCTGAAAGACTTATTTTCAAAGTGATTCTACTCCCGTCAGAAGTATATGCAAATTCCCAATGTCCTACATCCTTGCCAACACTTGACACTGTGGAACCTTTTCGCATCAGCCTTTCAGATGGCTTTGCAGTGGTAGCTATCAAGCTCCATTTCGTTTTCATCTGAATTTCCCAGGAGACAAAGGGATGCCGTTGGGTGTCTGCATCTGTGAAGTGTGAGTACAGATGTATTAGTCCCTCCTATAAGGCCATCTGCCTCCTCCTTTCTGACTCACAGGCGTTCATATCTAGATAGTACACATGTGAGCCCTGCTGTAAACAGCCTCCTTCTGTGACTTGCCTTTTCACCCTATTAATGATGTCTTTGATGAAGAGAAGTTCCTAACTTTAACGTAGCCCAGTTTATGAATCTTTTATGACTGGTCCTTTCCCTTTAAAATCATGACCATATTCCCACTGTCATGAAGTCCTGTTCTACAACAAGAATCAGCAAACTAAGGCCCATCACCTATTGGCATCAATAAAATGTTGCTGGACAGGGCACAGCCCATCTGTGTATGTGCCATGTGTGGCTGCTTTTGCCCTATCGCAGCAGAGTGGAGTGGCTACAAGAGACCACACGGTCCGCAGGCTCAAATATTTACTATCTAGACCTTTACAGAAAACATTTGCCCACCCTGTTCTAAAACATCCATCCGGAAGGCGACACTGGCTTCCATCATACGCACTTCTATGTCACCTTTCCCCAATTTGGGAGTATTTTGATTATTTCTAATTGTCCAGTATTCTAAA